ATAATAATTTTTTTTTTAAAATCCCCTATCCCACAACACGTTTAAAAGGGCAACCCCAAGCCTGGTTGAAGATGAATGTTTTTGTCTGGTTCCTAAAGTTGTATAATGAAGGTGCCAGCAAGCCTTCCTGGGGAGACTATTCCATAGAGGGGAAGCCACTGCAGAAAAGGCCCCGTTCTCGTGTTGCCATCCTCCAGACCTCTCATGGAGGAGGCATGTGAAGAAGGACCTCAGAGGATGATTTCAGGGTCCAGGTAGGTTCATATGTAGAGAGGCAGTCCTTGAGGCTTCACCTGCCAATCATAGTTTCCAAGCTGGTTGATTTTAGGAAAGGCTCTTTTAGGAGAAAAGCACCTCTTCAAATTACAAAACAGGGACAGTGATTTATCAGGGCCAGGAGCCAAAAAACAGACAGTGCCAGGTAAAATATAGAATGCAGCAAAAAGCAACAGCAAGTGTGATTGAGATTCCTGCTTTGCAACTAGCTGTGGGACCAAAGGCCACCATTTCCTGGAACAGTCTCCCCCACCCTGGTGCACTCTAGTTTTTGGACTTCAAATCCCATCAGCCCCAGCCAGCATAGCCAATGATTGGGGATGATGGGGGTTGGATTCCAGCACCATTTGGATGCAGCAAATTGGAGGACGCCGTCCTGGAAAGACACTTAAAGCCAAGAGTAACCAAGATCATAATATCTGCTTGTTTCCTCTGCCACTTCAGATTTGTAATGTACAGTGGGGATGATTAATGGCTTCGCAGCAAGGTGCCCTCAGGTCTTGCTGTGATGGATATGACAGATGGATCCTGCACCAAAAAGTGGCATTTGCAATTGGGGATGCTGGAGAATATGCCAGGATTGCTGCTTGCATTAAGACTGCTGGTTTGTTTAACACTGCCTCTCTCTCCTGAACATCTCCCTTACAGAATGTGTCAATCAGCCGTATGTTTCCAGTCTGCAATGAGCAGATGGAGACAACAGTGTTCGCTTACAATGCAACGCACCCTCTTCTTGTGTGTTTGTGCAGGATTCAAAAAACACCTGGTGGTGATGATGTATGTTCTTCTTCCTCACAATTCGTAGGGACACTTTCCAGTAGTTGTTGTTTAGTCGTTTAGTCGTGTCCGACTCTTCGTGACCCCATGGACCAGAGCACGCCAGGCATCGCTGTCCTCCACCGCCTCCCGGAGCTTGTTCAAACTCATGCTGGTAGCTTCGAGAACACCGTCCAACCATCTCGTCCTCTATCTTCCCCTTCTCCTTCTGCCCTCCATCTTTCCCATCATCAGGGTCTTTTCCAGGGAGTCTTCTCCTCTCATGAGGTGGCCAAAGTATTGGAGCCTCAGCTTCAGGTTCTGTCCTTCCAGTGAGCACTCAGGGCTGATTTCCTTCAGAATGGGGAGGTTTGATCTTCTTGCAGTCCATGGAACTCTCAAGAGTCTCCTCCAGCACCATAATTCAAAAGCATCAATTCTTTGGTTATCAGCCTTCTTCATGGTGCAGCTCTCACTTCCATACATTACTACTGGGAAAACCATAGCTTTAACTATACGGACACTTTCCAGTATTTTCCTTCAAATACATCTGTGGTTAAATATTGTACTCTTCAATTTTGCAGCACAAATGTTGCCGCTGCCTTAAATTTTGCATTTCCCAAAGAGCACTTATCTCTACTTTTGTACAAGCCAAGTAATCCATACCCAATGGCTGCATATCCCAAACGAGGAAAACTCTAGCTTTGACAAATCCCCACCCCCACCCCCAATAAATGAGATTTTCTCTACTGACTTTCTCAAACTGTTTTTAGTTTTTGATTTGGTCACTTATCTGTACAATGTCTGGGAATCTTAAGCTACATACTCTGATAAAGTAGGTCCCAGTGCTGAATTGCTTGCGCTACCGTAGCAAAAAAGAGGAAAGTTACTTTTGAACCTCTGGAATAGGCAGGATAGAAGCTTATAAAACTCTTTGTGATGAGAGTGAAATTTATCTCCATCACTTATAATTCAAGAACCCACTGGCAGCACAGTCAGGGGAGACAAAAGGAAAGTACTTCTTTGTACAATGCATAATTTACTTATGTAATTTGCTGCAAGGCACAGCAAATTCTGACAGCTTCTTGCTTAGATCCCTTCAAAAGATTAGAGAAATTCAAGGATAGTAAGTCCACCAGCTGGATTTGATTGTCACCAGCAAATCAGCACTGAACTGTATTCGTGTCACATGGAGATACCACATGGATGACTCCCTGGTGGCAAGCAAGGTCCATCTCAGGTTAAGGAGAGCCCATAGCACAAAGGAGAAAGAGAGACCTCAAATCAACAGTGCCATCAACTCTCAGGCATGTGGGAAAGACCCAGGACAGGCCAAAATCCCAACAGAAGTGCAGAAATTCCTTCAATTCCTCCCTTACGCCACACCTCCACAGCCTCCTTTTACGGCATTGAGAACAAGGATCTGTGCCACAATGCGATTTTTTGATTGACTTGCCTAGGATCCAGGACAAAGCGCCGCCTTTCAGAAATCCCCCGACGTCAATTCTGCCTTTGAAATCCCGCTAATGTCTGGGAAAATCCAGACATATGACAGCCCTAGTACATGACTTTCATAGACCTGCCGAAGGCCTTTGACCTTGTGAGCCGAAAAGGACTCTTCACACTGCTCAACAAGATAGGATGCCCACCTAAACTTCACAAGATGATTGTGTTGCTCCACAAGAACGTGCTCAGCACTCTCCAGTATGATGGCTCATCTTCAGACGCCTTTCCTACAGAGATGTGTGAAACAGGGCTGCTTTCTTGCCCCAACTCTCTTTGGCACATTCTTCTTGATGGTGCTTTCAGATGCCTTCAGCTTGACTGAAGGTGTGAGGAGTGTGTGCAGGAGCCAGGCTCTGTGTCTGGTAGGGATTTGCAGGACTGGGGCTTTCCTAAGTTTGTTCTCAAGAGGCAAGGTGCGGCCGCACAGGTAAGGCCGATTGGTAACTCACAGCACCTGGTGGCAAGAGCCCGGAAGGGATATAAGGGCAGCATTTCCCTTTGGCTCTTTGACACAGCAACACGCTTCCTGCCTTGCTGCGTTTGGCTTCTTGACTCCTTGCTTCTTGATCCTTGGACCCTTGGCTTCCTGACTCCTGGACTCTCGTTCCTGCTCCCACCCCGCCGTCTTGCCCCAGGTCCCGCCATCCTCCGCCAGGACTTTGACCGCCCGTAAACTGGACCGTGGCAGAAGGTGGTCCATACTTCCATTCAAGGAGTGATGGGGGTCTGTTCAACCTGGCAAGTCTCCACACCAACACAAAAGTGTGGTGGGTCCTTACCTGAGAGATGTTGTTTGCAGATGACGCTGTCTTGACTGTACACTCTGAGGAAGCTCTCCAGAGACTCATCAGCTGTTTTGCTCAAGCCTGCAGGGAGCTCAGCCATACCATCAGCCTCATGAAGACCAACAAATTGGGTCAGGACGTCGCTGGCACTCCACACATCAGCATTGACGACCATATGCTTGAGGTGGAAGGCCATTCTGTCTACCTGGGTTCCACCATAACCAGAAACCTCTCCATCAACGCTGAGCTGGACAAGCCTCTCCAAAAGGGTGTGAGAGAATGACATGCCCAACAACAAGATGGTCTGCCAGTCTTGTGTGATGAGCACGCTGCTTTATGGAAGTGAGTTGTGGGCAACTTAAAACTGCCAGGATTTGTGCCACTGCATAGATTGGATGGTGGTTAACAATGAGGGGAAACTGAACCATGATTGCACGCACCTGTTGAGTACACGCATTTGATCACCTTTGCCCTGCAACATGGACTTTGTAGTATTTAAGGAGGAGACCAGCGGTGTTGGTAGCAGCTGTCATGCGCCTGACCTCCCAGGAGTGGAGTCTCTGCAGTTTTCCGAGAGGGAGATGGGGAGTGACGAAGCACCAAAGACTTTGGCATTGTGCATCTGCCAGTTTTGCATGCTCCTTTATTGTCAAAAGGGACGCGGGTGGTGCTGTGGGTAAAACCTCAGTGCCTAGGACTTGCTGATCGCAAGGTTGGCGGTTCGAATCCCTGCGGCGGGGTGAGCTCCCGTTGCTCGGTCCCAGCTCCTGCCCACCTAGCAGTTCAAAAGCACCCTTAAGTGCAAGTATATAAATAGGTACCACTTTATAGCGGGAACGTAAACGGCGTTTCCATGTGCGGCGCTGGTGCTGGCTCGTCAGATGCCGCTTAGTCACGCTGGCCATGTGACCCAGAAGTGTCTCCGGACAGCGCTGGCCCCCGGCTTCTTAAGCGAGATGGGCGCGCAACCCCAGAGTCGGACACGACTGACCCGTACGGGCAGGGGTACCTTTACCTTTTTTTATTGACAAAGAATATTTGCGCGAGGCTGCACTGCAGCATGGGATCTGTGGTCTTTGAAATGTGTTTGAATCCTTAAATCTGGGACTCATTCAGACCCGGGTTTCTTGCATTGGGTGAACATATGTGGTACAAGGTCGTGCATCTCCTCTGTGGTGTTTACTCCTGTCCTCCTGCAGTGTTTTTCACCGTCATCAGTGTTTGTCAAACTTGGCTCCCCTGCTGTTCTGAAGACTACAACTCCCATCATCCCTAGCTACCAGGGCCCGTGATCAGCGATGCTGGGAGTTGTAGTCCAACAACCTCTGTGGACCTAAGTTTGAGAAAGGCTGAACGAGGCCTGGCTTCAAAAAACAACACCCCATAATATTTCCCCCTCCTCCCCAACATTTCCAGGTAGCAAGTGCTACTGCTTCCCCGCCAACCCTCCGTTTATTTTTATTCCGTTCCCTCGGCCTCGCAGCGCCCCGACGCGGCCTCTGAGGCGGCGGGAGGCCTGGCCGTTGCCTTAGCAACCGGCGCGGCCTACTCCGGCCCAGGGGAAAGGCGAGGCCTGCGTGGATTAGATCCCGCCCGCTGGCCCGTGTCGAATCTGCGCCTGCCACTCCGCGGCCGGAGAAGGAGCGAAAGTGCCGCGGCGGAGCGGGCGCCGCGTCCGCCTGGTTCGAGGCGGGGCGAGCGGAGAGGGCGGCCTCGCCGGCCGGGGATTTCATCATGCTGGGGGCCGGGCCTCGCCGCCTCCGCCGCCGCCCTCCTGCGCTCCATGCCGTGGCCCCTTAGCGTCCTCCGCGCCGCCTCGCTCGGCCGCCTCAGAAGCAGCAGCAGCAGCAGCACCCGCAGCCTCCTCCTCAGCCCCCTCGCCTCCCTCGGCCTCCAGCCCAGCCCCGCCGGCCGGACCCTGGTCACCAGGCGCCCCAGGTCCCCCTCCGCCGTCCCTGCCGCCTCGCCCTCCCAGTGGACCAGCAACCCCGGCGCCGGCATGGACGGGCCCGCCGCCGAGGCGCTGCTCGCCCCGCTCAGGCAGGCGGTGCGGCAGCAGGTGAGGCTGGACGGGGGGCGGAGAGAGGGGGGCTTGTTTGGAGGGGGGTCCTTTGTCCATCAGTGGGGGGGGGTGTCTGCCTGTGTTACAAAGAGGGGGGCTTCTCTCCTTTTCATTCCAGGATCTTGCCCGCACCCCCCCATTTGGATGAGGGCCTCTAAAATCTGTGCATTTCTCTCTCTCTCTCTGTGTGTGTGTATATATATATATATATATATATGTATGTATATGTATATATATGTACACACATATACAGTGGTACCTCAGGTTACAGATGCTTCAGGTTACAGACTCGGCTAACCCAGAAATAGTACCTCGGGTTAAGAACTTTGCCCCAGGATGAGAACAGAAATCGTGCGGCGGTGGCACGGCGGCAGCAGGAGACCTCATTAGCTAAAGTAGTGCTTCAGGTTAAGAACAGTTTCAGGTTTAGAACGGACCTCCGGAATGAATTAAGTACTTAACCTGAGGTACCACTGTACACACATATAAACATAATACACATATATACACACATACTTATATACCTATACACACACACACACACACACACATATCTATATATATATATATATATATATGCACATAACACATAGGGATAGATGCACATACATATAAATAGGGATGCACACATATATCTGGAGATACACACACACACACACACACACAGAGAGAGAGAGACATATAGTTACAAACACACAGGGATATGTCTATAGAGGACTTCTCTTCCCCCGCTTTCAATAGGCTTCCCCTTGCAGTCTGGATCTGTGTAGTGGGAAAGAGGTGAATAATCGCACCTGACAGCAATACTGTCAGGCTTCAAAGACGCTTTACGCAAGTGTAAGGCCCCGCTGGGTGCAGTGGGGCTCGATTCTGACCAACCACGCGTATAGGATTGTCCTGGGAGCCTTCTGATCTGAGGATACCCAGTGACAAGATGCAGTTGCCCCTGGTTGTCCTTTACGCCTGGAACTCTGGGTGGGATTTGCTTGGGATTCTGGGGGGATCCTAATCAACCCTTGATTTTGATGTGGTGCTATGGTGTCCTTTCAAAAGGTGCTTCCTCTGGATCCGTCCTTTGTTTGAAGCTTTCTCATCCTAGTCATCTTTCTCTGTTCCGACTTGCGTGTCACTCATTGCATGCCCCCATTCATGGTGTAGCTGTAGAATTAAGAGATACATACAAATGCTTAATTCCTGGTTATTCTCCAAGGCTTTCCACTGTAGCTTTGAGGTGTGTAGGAAGTCACCGTTGCTTTAGAATAACCCCCCTTTAGTTAGTGATCTGCATCTACTTAAGTTGGATTCATACAGACATTCCTTAATTCTGTTTGAGGAAAGTCTTCATGTACATCTGAATTAAAGTGCTGTGTCTTTTTGTGGCATTCCTATTCTCATAGCGAGCCTGTTGTGTGTGTATGTATGGCAATGGGTCCTTTCCCCGGGTTCCTGAGAATTGTTACAGCTAATTTTTCTGCTGCATTTTCTTTCATATAACTAGGTTCCCATATTCTGTTTGGGTGGGTGAGATTTACCTGAACATAGATCTGGGTCTTCTGTGAGATTCCTGCCTTCCTCTTTATAAACTCACATGCTTCTCTGCAGTTCCTCTCCCACTGTGATAAGCTGAGCTGAGAACAAGATAGATATGAACTCTTTCCTCCTGCTGTCCCATATACTGTGGATGGTCTTTCCTCTCATTTTCTTCAGCTGGATTGCTCCAGCTGTTTACTCTCTAGGAATGTGTTTAAGGTCCCCTTTCCCTCCTATAGTGTGAAATGATGATTCAAACCCATTTTTAGCAGAGTGGAGTCCACACAGAGCATCGTTTTCTTCTCCCGCATGTCTTACACAGCACAATGCTCTATACATATCTATTAAGAAGTAAGCCCCATTGGGTTTAGTGGTCCTAGGTTAGTGGGGAATTGCAGCCTTAGCTTTCTACAGAGTTGTTTCACTTGGAATGCATTATTCCTAATGAACCTTTACCCTCCCCTTATGACACTCCTTTTGTAGACAGATGTGATACCTTGCAGTAAAGAATTGAATCTCTGCGCTTTCTGATTCTGATCTGTAGCCACTTTTGTTCATTTGAAAAGAAGCAAATTAAGCATTTTCTCATGACCTTTTGGGTAAGATCAAGCATAATATATGTTCTTATCAGTTTAATAGGCTGTTCACTGCTTTGGGGGCCTTTAGGCTGAAAAGCAGTTTATATAAACAAATTGTAGTCGTAATAATACAATGGTTGTAAGGATTTGGGGATAGATTTAGACTCCCAGTAGGGATGAATGCCTATTGATAGACAGTGCTGCTTTAAAGCATTGTACTGTTAAATTTCCTTAACTTTTTGTGTGGGGGATTTCACAAGGTGGAGATGAGCTTTGCTTCCCCACATGCCATCTGACTTTCAGATCTGCTTGGTTCCTGCAATACTCTTTTATATCTTTGCATCCTGGAGGGTGTATGTCTATATATTCCAGTCTAATGCAAAATTGGATCTGTTTGGTTGTTTCACAACTGAGCAGAAGGCCCTGCATACCCATATTATTTATATACCTGATCTTTAGATACATGGTTATTTCTGTGTAAATTCCCCATTATGCCACTAAGTTCAGTCTATTCTTGCTTAGCTAGTCATGTAAAATGGACTCAGATGGGTGTCTTTACATAACTGGATGGGTAGCATCTTAATTAGTGTATGCTTCAGCTTTGTTTTTCTTGTGAATCATCATACACCATCCCAAATTACCTGGTTATAAGGAGATCTTGCTGAATCAGGTTCGGGTGGCTTGATGCAAGAGTCGGAGGTTATCCTTTTAAAAGGAATCTCGGTAGCTGACACACAAACACAGAACGTTTTCTTAAACAGGAATCTTCCTGCTTTCTCGTATTTGCAATAAGGAAATGCTGGAAGTAAAGCTTGGTGTGAGAAGGGACTTTTGCCAGGCACAGAGAGTGTGCTGTGTGATGTGAAATTAGCCTGGCAGAGATTAAGATCTGGTGAATGAAAAGGAGGTTGTATGGACTGTTGGCTTGTCCCCGTCATTAGAGAAGGAAGAAACACTTTAATTACACCTCTGGACAGATCTCCTTGAGTGAGAAATCAGTCCTGGGCTGGGTTAATGTTTTCCTCCTGCAGCAGTGCCTGATGCAATAGGCTTCGGTGTTCGAGGGGTGGATCCCTTTCCCTGCCATAAGGGACAAAGCTGCAGTGAAATCTGCCACATCAGTCTAGCTCCGTTGCACTTTCTTTGGGTTGGGCAGGTTCTCTCAAATAAATGAATCCTGTCGGCATTTCCTTCCTCTCCCTCCTCCCCCCGCCTCAATTTCTGCCTTTTTCCTGTGTGCTCCGGACTTTCTCTTTCTTGACATTCGAAACTGCAAATGCTGCTGCCTTTTTAAAAATGCATGCTCCCCCCCCCTTTTCATTACTGGTGACTGCAGATTTCAAATGTCTTTTTAATATTGTTTTCCTGAGGTTTTATCTCTCAGCCGACCTTCTCTTCCTCCCTTCTTTTCCTTCCCTTCTTTTCTAGCTTAAAAAAACAACCTTCAGTTCCCTCCCTTCTGCCACGTTAGCCTGCAACTGCAGTGACTTCGAGTCAAACTTTCACATTCAGAATCAAGCTCGTTGTTAGTCTGGCTGCAGCAATGGACGCTGTCAGGTTTCTCTTTCGCTTCCTCCCTGATGAGTTTGTGGTCTGTCACGCTTGGCGTGCCTGCCTCTTCTTTGATTAATCACATAAGGATGGAGATTTCTTTCCACATCTGAAGCTCTTTCCCTCCTGCTCATATTTTCCTTTGCCCTCGACTTCTGCTCTTCCTGCCAGCTGCTTGTCGGTGGAGCGAACGGTTTACCAGTGTAGAAAGAACTTATTATAAAAAATGCAGTCCCATTTGAGACCTTCAGTAAGGGAAATCTATTTAGGGGGAAGATTGATGCTAAACTGTGATGTGTGAAACTAGGAAGGTGATGGAGTTTAGTCTTTTTTAAAAAAATGAATCTAATCTTTAAGGCATTCTGCTAGTCCGATGCCCTCCAGATGTTTTGGACAACAACTGGCTGAGGCTGATGGGAGTTATAGTCCAAAACATCTGGAGAGCACTAGGTTGGCAAAGGCTTGTCGTGGGATATATCCAGCTAAGCCCTTGCATTGGTTTCTTCAGCTCCATACAATCTCACCTGCTGGGAGCAGTCAAGACAGTGGACTTATTGAGTGTCGACTTTTGTGTATGCCCCTCCCCATATATGCACTTACCCACACCCCAAATCTGGGGAACTGTGATTTTGACTCACCAGGGTTTGTACCCTTTGTGTATATATTCACTGCAAGACTCCATATGCATAATTTGTGACAAACTACTTGGGAATTCTGAGTAGGCGTTCCAAGGTTCTACGCAGACTCTGTGGATTGAACCTGGGACTTTTGGAGTTCTATCCACCTAAGTTTCACAGTAACGTTGCCCTGCTCTGTTTTCCGTATAAGGAAAAACTAGTATTGAATTTTGTGTGGAAACTGAAGTGTGGGATATAAGACCTATGGTGGTTCTTAGCCATGGGACCCAGTAGATACCATGTGGAAGGGACATTTGTCATAGCCTATCCTCCCAGGACTGTTGTGAATGTGAGATAAGAAATCCTAGTAAGAATGACTTCTAACCTACATTCTTATCATCCCACGGTGAAACCATCCTTAAGCCTTTATCAAGATGTCTGCAGTCAGTTGCATTGCTGTCTTTCAAAATCATATGGCTTTTATTGAAATGCCTTAATAACTTGCTTCTGTCAATTTTTTTTTCTTGTTTACTGTCACATCTTTCAGAAAATCAATGATACCGAAATGCTGGACACACTTCCTAGAAAGTAAATTGCGTTCACACAGTGGGACTTGACTTCTTGGTAAACGTACATAGACTGTGACACACCACACGCTCTGCATTTCTTTGTGAGAGCTCACCTCCCCACCGCCTTCAAAAGGCAATTGTACTGGTTTAAACATCATTGTGGGTCAGGTATCGCTTGTCCCTCAAATCCATGTGTATGCTGTGAGTTTAAGTGGCAGAAAAGTGCTGTTTCTGCTGGCAATTCCTCCCCGCCACCGGCTATGTTCATGGGATTTCTTCCAGAACTGAACCTGTACTGACTGTTTGCAATTCTTTTTCTAGGGCGAACTTGTTCGAAAGTTGAAGGAAGAGAAGGCTCCCCAGGTGGATGTAGACAAAGCAGTAGCTGAACTCAAGGCTCGCAAAAGAATCCTCGAAGCAAAGGTGAGCCTTGGGGGTCAGTTTTTTTGTTGACTTTTGGTTCCTGCCCGCCCCCCTTATGCCAGAGTAAATGACCAAGGTTTAGGGTTGCACTGACGAGTTACAATGAACTTCAGACTTATGCGCTTCCTGTTCCCTTTTATTCTTCCATTGTGTCTTCAAGAAGGTGGCTGGAAGTTTCAGTGTCCATTTCCAGATTAACCATAGTTCAGCATTTCCTGCAAATGCCAAACTGTGGTTCTTCTTGATTATGGCTAGTGATGGCATGCCAGATTCAAAGTGTTGGTACTCATGGGCGGAGACTGTCATGTCTTGGGGGCCGTATAAACACCCATTTTTCTTCTTTCTTTTCAAACATCATTTAAGTTTTTGAAATTTGGCATCCCAGCTATGTTAGGCTTATTAAAATTTTGCATCGTTTCCCAATATGTAAGTCACACAATGATCTGCAACCACAGTAAAGTACGGAAATATAATCACACGGAGATTATTAAAAGCATATTTAGCAATGTTGTTGGTGCTATATTATCTTTGAGGAGAGCTGGTCAGTTTCCTTCTGGTGCTAAATAAATGCATGTTAGTAATAGGACTAACACTGAGATCCCCTTTTTTCAGTAGCATCTGTGTTATCAGCAAATTTCTCGAAGGGTGTCTATTGATTGCACCATATCTATAGGCTTCTTTCTAAGCCATGTGTTTTTGTAAGCTATCCTCCCCCAAGCTGGTGCCCTCCAGATGTTTTGATCTGCAATTCTCATCAGCCCTGGGTAGTGCACCTGTGTTGGGTGGGACTGATGGTCTTGTAGTCCAAAACATCTGGCGAGCTTCAGAGTCCTGGCTCTGATGCAGCTGAAAGCAGCGTGCCCTATGACGGTGTTTAAAAATAGCTTTTTACAGATGTTGGGCAACTTCAGATACAAGCAGAAGACATCCAGCACTATGCTGCTTTATGCAGGGCAATGTATCTCTAAAGAGGGAGGTGTGTGTGCTACAGAGAGAGAGAGAGAGAGAGAATGAATCAGGGAAGATCTATTTTAGTTGAAATCTATCATTCGTTTTTTTTACAGGAGCTGGCTTTGCAGCCAAAGGATGATATCGTGGACAGAGCTAAAATGGAAGATACTCTGAAGCGAAGGTTTTTCTATGACCAGGCTTTTTCTATTTATGGAGGTACCCAATTTATAATTGTAATTGTGGGCTCTTTAGAGCATGATTTCCTGTGTTCTTCACCATTTGTTTATTTTTGCAGTCTTAGGCCATGATAAAATGCAAAATACAGGATGTAATGGTCAGTTTTAAACATAAGGCAAGCAGTAACATAGAAATCAGATTTAACAATAAAAATATTGAAAAATGTCAGAGATCTAGCTTACCATCTGCATTAAGCTGAATGGTGCTAAAAATTCTAGGTGGGTGTATGATACTGTCAGGGGACGCGGGTGGCACTGTGGTCTAAACCACTGAGCCTCTTGGGCTTGCTGATCAGAAGGTCAGCGGTTCGAATCCCCGCGACGGGGTGAGCTCCCGTTGCTCGGTCCCAGCACCTGCCAACCTAGCAGTTCGAAAGCACACCAAAAAGTGCAAGTAAACAAATAGGTACCGCTTCGGCGGGAAGGTAAACGGTGTTTCTGTGCGCTGCTCTGGTTTTGGTGTTCCGTTGCGCCAGAAGTGGCTTAGTCATGCTGGCCGCATGACCTGGAAAAACTGCGGACAAATGCCAGCTCCCTCGGCCTGTAAAGCGAGATGAGCGCCACAACCCCAGAGTCGTTTGCGACTGGACTTAACTGTCAGGGGTCCTTTACCTTTTACCTTTTATGATACTGTCATTCAGTGCAATTTATTGCTTGGGTCTAATTCTAACACTGCTCCATAGTACATCATGAGCAAATTATTTTTATGGGTTTAAATTTATAGGAATTTTATAGGAATTTGTAAATTCCCTTTGAGGAGAGCCTTTGCTTTACTTAAATCTATACAAATATTATATCTGGTTTTTGAAGGTTATTTTAGACAGGTATTACTGTAACAGACCTTTTAATCTCTACTAGTGGAGCAAAATACTTGCTATGCACACTTACATGGAGTGTGTCTAACTGATCTTGAGCTCAGTGGTGCTTGCATCCTAGTAAAAATTGCCAGGAGATGCTTCTCCATGTCAAAAGGAAGTATCTCACGGTTATTGGTAGGATGAGTTAATTACCTTAATCTTCAAAAATTGAACTGTGTAATTGCCAGCAGTAGTAAGGAGATAACAATTATGTTCTATATTATGGCACCAATAAAATGTTGCAAAACTTTTTATAATACTCATGTTGTAGATTGCAGGCTGGAATTTTGTTTTTTTACTTATTTATTTGGAATTGTGTGTGTGTGTGTGTGTGTGTGTGTGTGTGTGTTTTCACAGCTTGTCTCTCTTGCAGGTGTGAGTGGCCTGTATGATTTTGGTCCTGTGGGTTGTGCTTTGAAGAACAACGTAGTTCATGCCTGGAGGCAGCACTTCATCCAGGAAGAGCAGATTCTTGAGATAGACTGCACCATGCTCACACCAGAGCCTGTTCTGAAGTAAGTAGCATGTCATCCTACTGTGTGTTGTTTTATTATTATTATTATTTTATTTGAAGTTTTTTCAGTTCTACAAAATAAAGTGAAAAAAGAAGAAGAGAGTGCTATGTATGGTACCTTGGTTTACGAACTTAATCTGTTCCTGAAGTCCGTTCTTAAACCGAATCTGTTCTTAAACCAAGGTGCACTTTCCCTAATGAGGCCTCCTGCCGCCGGTACCCTTCCACCATTCAGTTTCTGTTTGTAGACCGAGGTAAAGTTCGCAAACTGGAACACTACTTCTGGTTTTGCGGAGTTCGTAAACCGAATTGTTCGTAAACAGGACTGTTTTTAAAGCGAGGTACCTCTGTGTGTGTGTGTGTGTGTGTGTGTGTGCATGCGCTTGCGCTTATATAGGTACCACTGTGGTGAGAAGGTAGATGGCTGTTTCCTGTCATTTTGCGGAATGTGAATTCCACCACAGTAGTATTGCTTTTGGTTTACTTAATGTAAGCCATTAAGTCTGTGACATAGATGACGCTACTCTTGACCATTGCAGGACCTCCGGCCACGTAGACAAATTTGCAGACTTCATGGTGAAGGATGTGAAAAATGGGGAATGTTTTCGAGCCGATCACCTCCTGAAAGGTATGCTGTGCTGCGAGAGCAGGACTGGTTTCGCGTGTCCCCCCCCCTTTGCCTCAGCATTGATCTAACAAATGTTTTTAGATTGAAAGTTATAATCTCTCTCCTCTCCCAAACGAAAGCCAAGTTAGTATAATCCATGTATTATGCTGGGCTGGCATATCTTCAGCACCGTATTTTCAATATCCTCCCTCCTTTCTCTGCAGCTGTCAGGACTAGAATCCTAGAATCCTAGAATCATAGAGTTGGAATAGACTACAAGGGCCATCGAGTCCAACCCCCTGCCAAGGAGGAAACACCATCAGAGCACTCCTGACATATGGTTGTCAAGCCTCTGCTTAAAGACCTCCAAAGAAGGAGACTCCACCACACTCCTTGGCAGCAAATTCCACTGTCGAACAGCTCTTACTGTCAGGAAGTTCTTCCTAATGTTTAGGTGGAATCTTCTTTCTTGTAGTTTGGATCCATTGCTCCGTGTCCACTTCTCTGGAGCAGCAGAAAACAATCTTTCTCCCTCCTCTATATGACATCCTTTTATATATTTGGACATGGCTATCATATCACCCCTTAACCTCCTCTTCTCCAGGCTAAACATGCCCAGCTCCCTTAGCCGTTCCTCATAAGGCATCGTTTCCAGGCCTTTGACCATTTTGGTTGCCCTCCTCTGGACACGTTCCAGTTTGTCAGTGTCCTTCTTGAACTGTGGTGCCCAGAACTGGACACAGTACTCCAGGTGAGGTCTGACCAGAGCAGAATACAGTGGCACTATTACTTCCCTTGATCTAGATGCTATACTCCTATTGATGCAGCCCAGAATTGCATTGGCTTTTTTAGCTGCCGCATCACACTGTTGGCTCATGTCAAGTTTGTGGTCAACCAAGACTCCTAGATCCTTTTCACATGTACTGCTCTCAAGCCAGGTGTCACCCATCTTGTATTTGTGCCTTTCATTTTTTTTTTGCCCAAGTGCAATACTTTACATTTCTCCCTGTTAAAGTTCATCTTGTTTGTTTTGGCCCAGTTCTCTAATCTGTCAAGGTCGTTTTGAAGTGAGATCCTGTCCTCTGGGGTGTTAGCCACCCCTCCCAGTTTGGTGTCATCTGCAAATTTGACTAGAAATTTGCCTGGAAACAGAATGCCATCTTAAGAGTAACTTAAAGGACTCCTGACCATTAGGTCCAGTCGTGACCGACTCTGGGGTTGCGGCACTCATCTCGCTTTATTGGCCGAGGGAGCCGGCGTACAGCTTCCAGGTCATGTGGCCAGCATGACTAAGCTGCTTCTGGTGAACCAGAGCAGCGCACGGAAACGCCATTTACCTTCCCGCCGGAGCAGTACCTATTTATCTACTTGCACTTTGACATGCTTTCGAACTGCTAGGTTGGCAGGAACAGGGACCGAGCAACGGGAGCTCACCCCACCACGGGGATTCGAACTGCCAACCTTCTGATCAGCAAGTCCTAGGCTCTGTGGTTTAACCCACAGCGCCACCCGTGTCCCTTAAGAGTAACTTAGAGAGTTTCTAATCCCTTTTTTAAACCATCCAGATTGGTTGCCATCCCTGCCTCTTGTGGGAGTGAATGCCACAGTTTAACTATGTGCTGTGAAAAGACGGTGCTTCTTCACACAGCGCATAAACTCTAGAATTCACTCCCACAAGAAATAGTGACGGTCACCATGATGGTCACCAACTTGGGTGTCTTTCAAAGAGGATTAGACAAATTCATGGAGAGTAAGGCAATCAGTGGCTGCTAGCCACAACAGCTACACTCTATGTTCACTGTATGCCTCACAATACCAGCTGCTGGAAATTGCAGGTTTGGTGAATTTCTGTTGCATCTGGTTGGCTGCTGTGAAAACAGGATGCTAGACTACATGGGCCTTTGGCCCAAACCCAGCAGCTTCTATTTTTTGTTGTTGTTCTGTGGAAAATGATACTAGAAACATTAAATTGTGCCAGCTCTGGGTGGGCTGAGGATCTTCTCTCCCTGAACATGTTGGGAGGAAGGGCAGAGCCAAATTGGTTTCCCTGATTCGGTTGCTTTCAGACATTTATCTTCAAAAACTCTTTTCTACATTGACACTTGAGTTGAGGAACGCTCTATGCACTATAGAGAAGGCTGGAGGGTATTTGAGCACAAGTCAGACCGGTTGGGCCTCAGGCTCACCTTGAACTGGGAGCATGGAACTCTCTCCTATAGCTGTGCTTTGCAGAAGGAGGTCACTAATGATGGACATGATAGACATGTTTCTCTGAGAAACCTATCATTACTGATCTCTGCTTTGGGGATCTTGGGGGCTCCTCAGAGACCTATTTTTGGAAACTGCCCATCTAGTTCTTAGAATCTGCATTCTGGTGAGCTTTGTGGTAGGCCACAAACGCTTCTTTCTGCCTTCTCTTGTAGCTCACTTACAGAAGCTGATGTCGGACAAGAAATGTACAGCTGAGAAGAAGGCTGAAATGGAGAATGTTCTGACACAGGTCAGTATGTGGCTGTGCAAACGGAAACAGAGATGCAAGCTTTCAATTATTTACTTCGGATTCCCTGGGAAGAATTAAGACACTGGACGAACTTGGAAGTTGACATCTCACAAATGAGTTTTCTGCAGGTCATAGATCAGTGGTGAATTCATTTGGTGGAGTGGCTGTGTGCTTTGCGTTGCGGTGTATAGATTGTAAAGGTTTGTTCCACATACCTGCTGGGAATCTATTACAATTGCACAGTGGCGGGCAGTTGGTTCCCTGGTTCCATTACAGGCAAATTCAGAGCTCCACATGTAGCGTGAAGCCTATCAAGTAAGAAACTTCCTCCTCCCCTGTTACTGGCCTTTGAATAATTTCTAGTCCTCCTTGTCCAAATCTGTGCAGCTGACATTTGTGAAACTTGTTTCCCCGTAGATTGAGCAAAGCTGAAAGGGAGCTCTTAGCTGATCCGTGCCTATATATGTTTTCTTTTGCTTTGGATAAAGCAAGGCGGATGCTGGGATATTACCGTATTTTTCGCACCATAGGACGCACTTTTTCCCTCCTAAAAAGCAAGGGAAAATGTGTGTGCGTCCTATGGAGCGAATGCAGGGGGGGAGGCAGGTGGGAAAAGCCCCCAAGAGCCGCACACAAGCTCCGTGCGCTCTTGCGGGCTTTTCCACAGGAGGGAGAAGGGACTGACTGGCCGCATCAGTCCCTTCTCCCACCTCCCAGGAAAGCCAGGAGAAGCCGTGCAGCCCTTTTAAAGTGCGCACGGCTTCTGCCGGTTTTGCGGGAGGTGGGGGAATTCCCCCACCTCCCAGAAAAGCCAGGAAAGCCCTGCGCAGCATCTCCCAGCAAGGAGAAGCTGCGCGGGGCTAAAGGGGAAGGCAAAACAGTGAGCGGGATCCATCCCGCTCGCTGCCTTGCCTTCTTCCATAGCCGCGCACAACCCCTCCGCAAGGAGAGGCTGCGCGGGGCTAAAGGGGAAGGCAAAACAGCGAGCGGGATCCATCCCGCTCGCTGCCTTGCCTTCTTCCATAGCCGCACGCAACCCCTCCGCAAGGAGAGGCTGCGCGGGGCTAAAGGGGAAGGCAAAACAGCAAGCGGGATCCATCCCGCTCGCTGCCTTGCCTTCTTCCATAGCCGCGCGCAACCCCTCCGCAAGGAGAGGCTGCGCGGGGCTAAAGGGGAAGGCAAAACAGCGAGCGGGATCCATCCCGCTTGCTGCCTTGCCTTCTTCCATAGCTGCGCGCAACCCCTCCGCAAGGAGAGGCTGCATGGGGCTATGGCTTCTTTAGCCCTGTGCAGCGTCTCCCGGCAAGGAGAGGCTGCATGGGGCTAAAGGGGAAGCCAAAACTTGGCTTGCTCCATAGCTGCTCGCAACCCCTCTGCAGGGAGAGGTTGTGCGCACCCTGTACGCTGCTCTTTGGGGCTGGGGGGGGAAAAAGATTTTTTTCTTGATTTCCCCCCCTAAAAACTGGGTGCGCCCTATGGTCCAGTGCGCCCTATGGTGCGAAAAATACGGTAATAACAACCTGGTGGGGGAACTGAGATTTGGCAAGCTGTAGCTGTGACACCTGCCTGTGCTGAGGGTGGCCCAAGATGCAGTTGGCTTGTGGCACTTGGCTCAGGCTCACTTGGCGGGAGTTGGCCTATTCATGTTTTCATTGACCCAATGTGAATAAGGAGGGGAAGGAATGGAAATAAGCAGATGGAGCCCCTGCAGCCATGTCTGCTTCCCCAAAGAGAACTCCCCATTTCTCAAAGCAGGTGCAAGAGGGGTGTGTGGCGGAAACACACAGCGGGACTTGATAGCTGCAGTGTAGGCAGTCTACGCTTGCACTGCTGTCGCCCATCCTCTCCTGACTGGGTCCTCCTGTAGAAGTAGCTGTTGGCCAGAGAAAGGGAAAGACGGACCACCCTCCTTCCTAGGAGGCATTTGCAGCAGTTCATAACCTCACAAGAGAATGAAAAGGGGTTGTTCCTCCTTGTACCCATTGTGCACTTAACTCAACGTCCTTCAACTTGCAGATTTGGTTTCCTGATCCTCAGAAACAGCTGACATTGGGTTGGGGCATGAAAATATAGAAGGATTGCGGGCTTTTTAATTTACTTTCTGAGGTAGGGAGAGGGGGAACCTGTGGCAACATGGTCAGCAGTGAAGGATGATGGGATTTGTAGTCTGGCAGCATCCGAAGGGCCACAGCTTCCCCAGCCCGGCTCTTTTCCTGCCAGCCGTCTTCATAGCACGCTTTGGGAAACACGTGACAGTGTTTCTGTTTGTCTGTGTTGCTCTGGCCCCTTATCCCATCACCAGAATGCCCTTGTAAGAGGCTGTGCTGGCAAATCCATGCTTGTTGCTTCCCCCAGTAAAATGCCAGGATTAATGCTTTGCAGTTTCTCATAAGGGGCTGGTGTCTTTTTAGAGACAGGGTGGATAGAGTGAAGCCTTTGCTTCAGTTTCCTGTGTTAAATGGATGTGCCTTTCATGTTTTGCTCCTAGTTGGACAACTACGGCCAGGAAGAGCTTGCGGATCTGTTTGTGAACTACAACGTGAAGTCTCCCATTACTGGAAATGACCTCAGTCCTCCGGTGTCCTTCAATCTTATGTTCAAGACCTCTATCGGGCCTGGAGGAAACATGCCAGGGTAAATTAAGCATGGATGTTGACATATTTCTTGTGACCTACTGGGCTTGACGGGGGTGACTGGCTCGTACTACAGCTGAATACATTCCATTGTGTTCTGCTTATAGTCAGCTAACCCTCCCCGGGAGGAGGTCTTGGGGGTCTTCAATTCGTTTGGGGTGGTGTGTGTGTTGCTGAACCTACTAGTGATGGAGGAGGGACTGGGGTAGTGATGTATAAAACAATTAAGACTACTCCCCTCACCCCAAACCCGCAGATTCTCAAGGGTAGTGGTGTTTTCCCACATGTGATTTGGGAATTCTGGGGTAGGAAGATTTAGCAAGGGCTAGGAGTCATGGAGCTAGGAATGAGCTAAATTCAAAAAAAATGGCTTGGGAATCGATCCTGAACCTTCGACAGGAAATATTTGCACCAGGCCATGGTAGCCAACTCAGGTCAACGAGGGGCGTTTTTGTTCTTATCCTAATTTAACATAAAGGTGACCAAATTTACTGCTGTGTGGGTTATTTGCAGCAGATTATCTCTTTGACCAGACCAGCCTTGCAGTCTTTAATTTTATAAGCTTAGAAAAGTATCGGAAGGGGTTCTGAGGGTCATCTAGTCCAGCCCCCTTCAATTCAGGAATTTCAGCTAAAGCATCCATGACAAATGACCATCAAACCTCTGCTTAGAAACCTCCAAGGAAGGAGAGTCCACCGCCTCCCGAGGGAATCCGTTCCACTGTTGAACAGCTCTTGCTGTTAGAAAGGTCTTCCCGGTGTTTAATTATGTGGCCATAAGACAGATAAGCAGCAACGATGCCTCAGGCTGTCAGCTACTTGTAACATAGGGTGCAGTAAAGCAATAAAGTGAAAATTGGTTTAAAATCGAACAGTATTTAGTGTTCCTGTTCCTAGAAAAACAAGCACAGGAGCAGGAAGACGCTGAGACTATGGAACCAGATGCAAGCCTTGATAATAAATTTGGGGGTGGGTCAGGGGGAATTATTGAGGCTCAGAACCTTTCCCCCTCGAGCCAGCAAAGGGAGTCTGAGCAGTCGGGGGAGAGATGCTGGTTGTACTTTTTGATTGCAAGACAATTTGCCCCATATAAAAAGTTGGGGAACCAGGCCCATCTGCTCTCAGGAGAGTTATTTTCCTGCTTCTCAGCTGCTTTCATTGTTGGATTTTATTTGTGTGTTTTTTTAAAGTTACCTGAGACCGGAAACTGCACAGGGGATCTTCCTGAACTTTAAACGCCTCTTGGAATTTAACCAAGGCAAACTTCCTTTTGCTGCTGCTCAGATTGGGAATTCCTTCCGGAATGAGATCTCTCCTCGCTCAGGCCTCATTAGAGTCAGGTACTGTAAGCATTCTTCTGTGACAGAGAGTTTGTGAACACTACACACAGACTTTCTCTCAACTTATAAGGGAATGGAACCATGGGTGTGCCTTCCTAAAATGTTCCCCATGCAGTCACCTCTCTACATGTTGATTTCTAAAAAGACCCTGTTGCATAATCATTGGAAATATCAACAGCACTGTCTGTGGTCATATCATAAATTTGTGAATATTTGCCATTTTTACTTTGCTTTACCGCATTGACTTTAACTGGATCCTCAGAAGTAGAAAATTCCACAATTCAGATATTTGGCATGGGTTTTTTGCGAGGGAGGGGAAGTGGTTTTAGGTAGACCGGTTACTGTTGTAACTGTCTTGAGATTTTCACTGCGCTTATTTGTTCTTTGGGTGGCTAAAAAGTGGTGGACCTTTTATATATTCTCTGTTCTCTGTTCTCTTTACAATTGAATATATAATTGTATAATTGTATAATTTATAATTGAATATATGGTGCCAAATGCAGCTTTAGCATGAACTTTGCCCTTGGGTTCCGTATCCACTGTGTGACTCCAGCTCTCTGAGTCTGGGAGGCCACGAGACATTGAGATGCCTTGACCTGTGTACGTGGTGTTGTGCAGAGCTTGTGGGTTATCCCACCTTTATGGGAGATGCTATAATGGCTCTCAAACAGAATAGCTACTAAACCGAGGGCATGCCTTTGTCTTTTAGAGAATTCACAATGGCAGAAATTGAGCATTTTGTGGATCCCAGTGAGAAGCACCACCCTAAGTTCCAGAATGTAGCAGACCTTCACATCCTCTTGTACTCTTCCAAAGCCCAGACCAGCGGGCAGTCGGCTCATTCCATGCGTCTGGGGGATGCTGTTGAGCAGGTACTGAAAGTGTGTTTTGCAGTAGAACCGTGTGAAGGAAATGTGGAAGAGAACACCATGAATTCTGCTAGATACTCACCTTTGTGGAGAACTAGATGAGGTCTGCATATTGCAATTTCTGAACAAGAAGCAACACAGATTAATTCTGTATTCACTCTACAAGTTTAGCCTTAACTATGATGGAAAGTATCTGGTATCTGAAGAAGTGTGCATGCACACAAAAGCTCATACCAATAACAAACTTAAAGGTAAAGGGACCCCTGACCATTGGGTCCAGTCGTGGACGACTCTGGGGTTGCGGCGCTCATCTCGCTTTATTGGCCGAGGGAGCCAGCGTACAGCTTCCGGGTCATGTGGCCAGCATGACTAAGCCGCTTCTGGTGAACCAGAGCAGCGCACGGAAACGCCATTTACCTTCCCGCTGGAGCTGTACTTATTTATCTACTTGCACTTTGACGTGCTTTCGAACTGCTAGGTTGGCAGGGGCAGGGACCAAGCAATGGGAGCTCACCCCGTCACGGGGATTCGAACCGCCAACCTTCTGATTGGCAAGTCCTAGGCTCTAGGCTCTTAGAGACAAACTTAGTTGGTCTCTAAGGTGCTACTGGAAGGAATTTATTTTATTTTGTTTCGACTATGGCAGATCAACACAGCTACCTACCTGTAACTATGATGGAAAGTCTCAGCACCTTTCCAGAACTAAAATCCTCTGATTTTCCAAGGCAGAGACATGTTGAGTTTGCCGTTACTACACGTAGGAATCTTCATGTTGACAAAAAAAATGTGCTTCTGATAACCATTGTTGAGACCTGTTGCCCAGCTGTGAACAAGCCCTTAAACACCTCAGCATCAAAATCTTGTGGAATTGATAGATTGGTCCTAACTTAACATTCCTTATTCAATACATGGAGGATGCTGTTGATATTTCATGGAAAAGGGCCCGGTATTTTGTACCACAACTCAAGCAGTGTTCGAAACTCCCTAGGCACCAGGCACGATTTGCGACTGGCGCAGGTCCAGTTGTGACCACATGGAGATCTCTGGTTGGTGACTGTGGAAAGCAAAATGCCACTCAGGAGGATCTGAAATATTTTCCTTGAAGCTTGAATTTGTTTTATTCTGGATCGTTCGATTTGAAGTTTGAATGTGTTATATTCCGCTTTGAGGTTTGTTTTTTAAAATATAAAGTGGTATAGAAATTAAATAACAGCCACAATAACAACTGCAATAGAAAAAACTCTGTTGTAAAAAAAGAGGCACCTAGACATTCCATTGTGGCAACCGCAACCTAGGTTTAAGGTGCCATTTGGCGATTAGCTTATACAGTTTATCTGAGCTTCTAACACTGAACACAAGGTGTGCAGCACTGTTGTTGTTGTTGTTTAGTCGTTTAGTCGTGTCCGACTCTTCGTGACCCCATGAACCAGAGCACGCCAGGCACTTCTGTCTTCCACTGCCTCCCGCAGTTTGGTCAAAGTCATTTTTGTAGCTTCGAGAACACTATCCAACCATCTCATCCTCTGTCGTCCCCTTCTCCTTGTGCCTTCCATCTTTCCCAACATCAGGGTCTTTTCCAGGGAGTCTTCTCTTCTCATGAGGTGGCCAAAGTATTGGAGCCTCAGCTTCACGATCTGTCCTTCCAGTGAGCACTCGGGGCTGATTTCCTTCAGAATGGATCGGTTTGATCTTCTTGCAGTCCATGGGACTCTCAAGAGTCTCCTCCAGCACCAGAATTCAGAAGCATCCATTCTTCAGTGCATATTTACTTGAGGAAGCAGTTTTTGGCTTTGGGCATCCCATCTCTCTCTCTCCTTTCAGGGTGTAATCAATAACTCGGTGCTCGGTTACTTCATTGGCCGCATCTACCTCTACCTTGTCAAAGTCGGCATCTCTCCAAACAAGCTGCGCTTCCGACAACACATGGAGAACGAAATGGCCCACTACGCCTGCGACTGCTGGGATGCAGAGTCCAAAACATCCTACGTAAGTGATCTGATAGCTGCAGAGGCTTCTGTATTAACCAAGGGGAGGTGGGGAGGGGAGAGAGTTTGGCTAACTCACGCGGCGGTGTGCTGCACAGAGGCGAATCCTTTTTTCTTTCAGGGGTGGATTGAAATTGTTGGCTGTGCTGACCGCTCTTGCTACGACCTCTCTTGCCACGCCAGAGCCACCAAAGTTCCTCTCGTAGCTGAAAAGCCTCTGAAGGAACCCATATCCTTTCAGAAATAAAAGAGTTCTAACTGACGGGGAATCTGGCTGGGAGGATGTGCGGGTTCACCTAATGGTTTTCTGTTTGTGAGGCTGCTGGGAGTAAATTCAGGAAGCTCTCTTGAAGCCAGGATGGGTAAAAATCAATGATATTTTACATACACACACAACACACACAGATATGATTCTTTTTATTCAAAACAGATTTTTTAAAATTTAAATCGGATTTTTAAAATAAAATGCTTTTGGGGGAAACCTCTTTCTAAAGATAGTTTTCTATTTCAGTTACATTAGAGTCCAAAGCCTATTCATCTGGAAATAAGGATTTAAGTTTTTCATGTTCCTCCTGTTCCCTTGGGATTCCTTAACGTAACTTGCACAAAACAGCCAACGTCGTTCAGTTCGAAGCAAATAAGGGAGCCATTGGCAAGGCTTACAAGAAGGATGCCAAACTGGTGCTGGAATACCTTTCCATCTGCGATGAGTGCTACATCAATGAGATGGAGAAACTGTTGAACGAAAAAGGGTAAGTGTTTGAGCCTGAGGGAGGTGAATCAGGAACTTCCTGCCCACCAACTTGTGCTGCGATGCTCAGATTGGAGCACAAATAACTTGCAACTAAAATGTCACCCAGAGAGTGCTTTGGTTCTGGGGCTTCGCTTTCTGATCTCAGACTATCTCGGGTTTTGTTGACGGTGCGGCTGGCAAACTGTCATTTGTGTCAACTCTGTAGTATGTCTGCAGAAATCTTTGTTTTTCGTAGATGAAATTTGCTCTTGGATCACAAGAACCAGTAGTACATAGATCCTCTTCCAGCACACTCAAGAGCTTTGGCAAGGGCGAAAGAGCTTGTGAAAGATCTGAAAAAGCCTGAGTAATTTTTACTTTAAAATTGGGATTAGAAGATGAAAGGAGACTGAATCGGCCGCCAGTCAGTAAAGGCTCCCAATTGACACTCCTTCTCCTTCATTAAAAATAAATAAATCCCCAAATCCATAGAAGTATCAGGAAATGCTCATTTGCCAAGGGTCAGCAAACTTTTTCAGCAGGGGGCTGCTCCACTGACCCTCAGACCTTGGGGGGGGGGGGGAGACTATATTTTGAAAAAATAAAAAATAAAAATGATTCAAGAGCAGCATGAGCCCTGGTGGCTGCTTACCTGTGTCCTGTGAGCGGCAGGGGCTGGCGGTGCTGGTGGAGGGATGATGAGCAGCGCGTGAAAGGGCTCTGGAGAGGGGCTGCTTAAGATGGCAGTCACTTGAGCGCTGCTGCTGCTGGCTCCAACAAAGCCCAGCCCCCTTCCTTCTCTGGGCAGGGCGGGGAGAAGCCAGGAGGAGGGAGGGAGGGAGGAGGTGCTGCCGCCATCATCATCGTGTGAGGGAGAGGGAAAGAACGTGATCCACACGGTGATTCCTGGACCGTTCACGGGCCAGATCCAGAAGGCAATTGGGTCTGATCCGGCCCGCGGTCCTTAGTTTGCCTACCTATGGCATACATCCACAATAGAGCAATACCTTTATTAGGCTAATCAGTATGTTGCAAAATTGATTTGACTGAGTCTTTCCCCCTCTATGTTCTCCATCTGCAATACTTTCCTCCAATTTCCATAATCCCCTTCATTTCATGGATTGCATTTCCCTACTAGTGCCTTTTAAAAAAGGAGCAAATTTCTCCCCAAACACTCTCAGAACAAAAGGGAGAAATAATTTGATTTGGCCTTGGCTCTGTATTTTATGAGACGTTAATGATTTTATTGTACACCGCCGTAATTTTTTGAGTTGGAGGTTTATAGTAATTCCTATAGATAAATACGTAACCACCATTTTTGTTAGCATTTGCAATATTTACTTAATTTCTATAATCCCTAATCTCAAGATGCAGTATTCTAAACTTCGTGAGCATAGTGATCGTAGAGGTTAGGGGTTGGCACCCAAGCACCAAGCCTGTGGAGATGATGTTGGACTGTCTAAATCCATTGAATGAAGCTTGCAGAGAAGGATTACCTGCTCGTCCTCAGCTGTTTACTTTCAGGAAGTATAAACCTAGTCAGGATGTTGTTAGGAATACTTGAGCTGACCTGGTTGTTCATTCATAACTATTTTTTGGAATTTTGGAATACTTTTGATGACCTTCAACTTCTCCTGGCATCTGCTGGACCTGCTTTTTGGACTGGAGTGGCACTGCTGCTGCTGTTTTCCTTTAACTCCACAGCGTCCTCTGGAAGGAAAAGAGCCTGATACTGATTCTGAGTCCCCTTTTCTTTTCAGGGAATTTACCTTTGAAACGGAAGGGAAAACTTTTCAACTAACAAAGGACATGGTCGGCGTGAAGAGGTTTCAGAAAACCTTACATGGTAGGTCTCCCCATACCTGCTGCTATAAAATAGTAAAGATCACAACCAGAAGACTGTCCCCTGCCCCAAATCAGTGGGAGACTTCCTTCCCATTCACTGTAGCACATCTAATTGCAGCCCAATGCAGTGTTCCTCAAACTTGGGTCCCCAGCTGTAGTTGGACTGCAAATCCCATCTTCCCTAGCTACCAGGACCCCAGCGGTCAGGGATGATGGGAGTTGTAGTCCATTAACAGCTGGGGACCCAAGTTTGAGAAACGCTGGAATGGCTGTTTTTCATTGGCAGTGTGACAAGCACTGAAATGGCTTTTTTTTTGGTCAGGGGGCGCAAACCACCATTATAAATGTGATCAGACGCCATTCACTTGGTTTGACTGGGATGCACAGTTCCCATGGCAGTGCCTTACCTCCGCCAAGGCCACTAGCATTCCTAGTTATCTCCTGCTTGGACTACTGCAACACACTCTATGTGGGGCTACCTTTGAAGGTGACCCGGAAACTACAACTATTCCAGAATGCGGCAGCTAGACTGCTGACCGGGGGGCGGCCGCTGAGACCACATAACACCAGTCTTGAAAGACCTACATTGGCTCCCAGTACGTTTCTGAGCACAATTCAAAGTGTTGGTGTTGACCTTTAAAGCCCTAAACGGCCTTGGCCCGGTATACCTGAAGGAGCCTCTCCACCCCCATCATTCAGCCCGGACACTGAGGTCCAGTGCTGAGGGCCTTCTGGCTGTTCCCTTCCTGCGAGAAGCAAAGCTACAGGGAACCAGGCAGAGGGCCTTCTTGGTAGTGGCACCCACCCTGTGGAACGCCCTTCCATCAGATGTCAAAGAGATAAACAACTACCTGACATTTAGAAAACATCTGAAGGCAGCCCTGTTCAGGGAAGTTTTTAATGTGTGACATTTTGATGTATTTTTAATTGTTGGAAGCCACCCAGAGTAGCTGGGGAAACCCAGCCAGATGGGCGGGGTACAAGTAATAAATTACAATTAGTATTACTATTACTACAATTCAGGCTTCCTCAACCTCGGCCCTCCAGATGTTTTGAGACAACAATTCCCATCATCCCTGGCTACTGGTCTTGCTAGCAAGGGATCATGGGAGTTGTAGGCCAAAAACACCTTGAGGGCCAAGGTTGAGGAAGCCTGATATAATTGCTCCGTACAGTCAAATTGAGAGAGTAACCTTTGAGTAAGCGGCAACCTTTGAGCCCTGTTGCTGTTGGGCAGAATTGTTATGAACACGAAAAGCTTCTACGCCTTTCAACCTGAGCTGGCCTAGCAAAACATACCCTTTTTTCTGCCTATCTGTTTTCTAGTGGAAGAGATTGTCCCCAATGTGATTGAGCCTTCGTTTGGTATCGGAAGAATCATGTACACGATATTTGAGCACACGTTCCGCATCCGGGAGGGAGATGAGCAACGGACGGTAGGATTTTCCCCCCTGTGACTTTGGCTTGGTTTCAGAGTTGATGTATGTCGATGGCTTCCTATGGGAGGCTCTGCGGATTTTGTAGCCCCGGCATTGTAGGCCGGATTTGGGCATTGCAGACATTTGTTTAGAGCCCTGCTGAGCCCCCAGCGGCCTTGAGTCATAGCTCTTCTCTCCGCTCCGTTTCTCCCGTCTGTAAAATGGGAGTAATAGTAACCTCATAGACAAGCAGCAATTGTGTCATGCTACCTGACACAATTATGACTTCCTGCACGCAACTCATTTCCAGGTATGCAATTCATGTGTGTGGAGTGTGCAAACAAGTGTGACAGCTACAAGCACAAGAGCAGCTGAAGTATCCACTGACTACCTGATCAGTTTGCTTGGGGCACGTGAAACACTTGCACCCCTACTCCACACTCCACATGTCATGATAAGCATTTTCCTACTCAGAATATTTCTTTGTAGGAAATCTGAAATGTATGAAATACCGTATTTTTCCAGACCATAAGACGCACCTAGTTTTTGGAGGAGGAAAACAAGAAAAAAAATATTCTGAATCTCAGAAGAGCAAGAGGGGTCGCTGCGCAGTGAAAGCAGTGATCGCGCTATTGATTAGGTAAAAGACAGGGGGAGTAAAAGGTTAATTAGTTAAATTCTGAAGTGAGGATTTGCTGAAAGAAATTTGAAAACGGATGCAGAAAGGGAAGGTATGGGGAAGTCGGAGAAACAGGGTTTAAGAAAAGAAGGTTTTGAAATTATACTTGTTTATGTGTTTGTTTGTTATTGTATTTTGTATTGTTTGTGTTTAATATGTGTTAAAAAATTAATAAAAATCATTATAAAAAAAAGAAAAGAAAGCAGTGATCGCGCTTGCTGTTCTGGCTTTTGGGATAGCTGCGTAGCCTGCATTCGCTCCATAAGACGCACACACATTTCCCCTTACTTTTTAGGAGGGAAAAAGTGAGTCTTATAGAACAAAAAATATGGTAGCTCTCTAACTCCGGTGTGTGTGTTGTAAAAAAAGTTAGGCTTCCAGCCTTATTTTTGAATGGTCATATGTTAAATGGTCCTATGTTTTTATGCACATATCCAATATTTGTATATATACAAAGCCTTTTCCCGTTAGGCAAAGATCATAAGACGACCCGGATGGCCACCAGATTCTGTGTGCAGATCTGTAGGCGCAGACCATCCCCCGACTCAAACTAGTTCATGAACAAAATCCCCAAACCCTGTTCCATGGGTGACTCTGGGTCATATCTATGCGGTAGCTTATCTTAAAGTTTTAAGTGTCTATATGCTTATTGCACTTATGAATTTTAAATTCATTGTTGTACATTATTTTAACTGTTTGTTTTCTTTCTGGCAATGTACCCCCAAGTGTGTTTTATAAGCTGCTCTCCGACCGTAATAAATTATCTCTATATATGGAAAGAACAATTTGGTCACCTGGAGTAGATTGTATGAACACAAACCTAGGTTCTAGCTTTCTGTATTTAATTCCCCCCGATCCTCAGTAGCTTCCATTCTGCCTATTTTTCTGTGCCCTTTGCCCCTCTTAAGATTGAGGTTCAGCTTTTCCTTTCCCATTAATTTGGGTGGGTGGAGGAATCTGGACTTGGCAAAAAAAAGAAAGAAAAGATAAGCATCTGCAGCCGAAGGTCCAAATTGCAAGATCAAAATGAATGTTCTTTTCACTACTTAATCAGAGCACAAAATCAGAGTCTTATGGTCACATAATTCATAGCATATGTAGAGCAGAGTTGGTGGTGGTGGGGAACCTTCCAATTTTCCCCCTAATTCCCATCAAATTCAGATGAAGACTCTTCCACTCTGGATCTGTCGGTTTCCCCTGCCTGATCACCTGTCTCGCTTTTCTCTCTCCCCAGTACTTCAGTTTCCCTGCCGTGGTGGCGCCGTTCAAGTGCTCTGTCCTTCCTCTGAGCCAAAACCAGGAATTCATTCCGTTCGTGAAGGAACTATGTGAGTAGCTCCCGATGCTTCCGGGCTGCCCTGTGTTAACAAAGCGTGGTGTAGTGGTTAAGAGCGGTGGACTCGTAATCTGGTGAACCGGGTTCGTGTCTCCGCTCCTCCACATGCAGCTGCTGGGTGACCTTGGGCTAGTCACACTTCTTTGAAGTCTCTCAGCCTCACTCACCTCACAGAGTGTTTGTTGTGGGGGAGGGAGGGAAAGGAGAATGTTAGCTGCTTTGAGACTCCTTAGGGTAGTGATAAAGCGGGGTATCAAATCCAAACTCCTCTTCTTCTTCAGCTGACCAGCATGCATGCTTGAACTGTGATCGTGCCTCTTGCTTGCTGGATGAAGAGATGTGTGGATGCAGAAACCACTGGCACAAGTGTGGAATGTAGCCTGCAGTTGCACTTGTTGCTCTGCTTGCTTTTGCCTCTGGCTACATCCATCTGCAGGGACACGGGTGGTGCTGTGGGTTAAACCACAGAGCCTAGGACTTGCCAATCAGAAGGTCGGCGGTTCGAATCCCCACGACAGGGTGAGCTCCCGTTGCTCGGTCCCTGCTCCTGCCAACCTAGCAGTTTGAAAGCACATCAAAGTGCAAGTAGATAAATAGGTACCGCTCCGGTGGGAAGCTAAACGACGTTTCCGTGCGCTGCTCTGGTTCACCAGAAGCGACTTAGTCATGCTGGCCACATGACCCGGAAGCTGTACGCTGGCTCCCTCAGCCACTAAAGCAAGATGAGTGCTGCAACCCCAGAGTCGGCCACGACTGGACCTAATGGTCAGGGGTCCCTTTACCCTTTACCCTACATCCATCTGCTGGCATGTGGCCTTCAGGAGGTTAACCCAGAAGGAATGTGGCCCTCGGGCTTGAAAGAGTTCCCCACGCCTGTGGTTGAGCATTCCCCAACAGGAAAAAACCACAACTGGCCGTGGAAACTGGTTCATATTTAGGATATACGCTTCCCTTTTGGCTTCAGGTGCCCTTTGCTCAGTTATTAGAGCACGAGACTCCTAATCTCGGGGTTGTGGGTTCGAGCCCCACAGTGGGCAAACGATTCCTGCATTGCAGGACCAGATGAGCCTCGGAGTCCCTTCCAGCTCTACAATTCTATGATTTTTCCTTTTGGCATTAGGGAAGGCATAATGTATCGAAAGGGCTTCGTGGTCTCATATATTGTACGCTGCAACACAGTGGTACCTTGGTTTGCAAACAGTCTGGTTTGCATATGTTTTGGATTACAAACATGTCAAACCCGGAAGTGCGTGTCCCAGTTTGCAAACTTTTTTTGGATTACAACCCATTTTTTTGGATTATGGACAATTTTTGGGGGGAGGCCCCATTGGCGAACGCGCCTTGGGTTACAACCTGTTTTGGTTTACAAACAGATCTCTGGAACGGATTATGGTTGTAAACCAAGGTACCACTGTATTCTAGTTCATGGCAACGTTGCTGAATTTAGTTTGCAGTTGCAGCTCTCTCTCTGGGTATATGCGGTTTAAATTAGACAATCCACCCAATTATCAAGGGCTGCGCAAATATCCAACCCTTTAAATAAAACAAACTTGGGCTTGCCTTTGATCAGCTGAGGTTTCCAGTCATCCTTCTGGCAATCTTTGGGGGATGCCCATTTCTTCTCTGCGCCCATTTAAATTCTCTATAAAGCCGGCCGACTCAATAAAACAATGCGCACCTTTGTTTCCTCTCGCAGCCGAAGCCCTCACAAGAAACGGGGTCTCCCACAAGGTGGACGACTCCTCCGGATCCATCGGCCGGCGCTACGCCAGGACGGATGAGATCGGCGTGGCTTTTGGGATCACGATTGACTTTGACACGGTTAACCGGTCGCCGCACACCGCCACCTTGCGAGACCGCGACTCCATGCGCCAGATACGAGCTGAGGTAGGCTGTGCCCTTTGCGTTGGGGCGGGGGGCAAGTTGGAGGTTCGAGACAAGCAACCAGAAGAGAAAGATGTGGAAAGTCCTGCTTGCTTTGAACTGTGGCCCAAAAAAACACGCCACGTTGAATGGAGAGAATGAGACAAGTCCCCTCTTATAACCACTGATGGTGGGGAGACAGTATAAGGCAGCTATCCTGTGTTCTCATCCTAAGTCAGGTCATTAGTCCATCTAGTCCAGTATTGCTTACACTGGCTGGCAGCAGCTCTCTAGGGTTTCTGGCTGCGTCCATTTCTGGACCAGCCTGGAAATGCTGGGGTCCTTGGTCCTTCTGCATGCACAGTGTCTGGAGGTGGTTGGAGGATGGATGGCAGCTGACCGATTGAGGTTGAATCCTGACAAGACAGAAGTACTGTCTTTGGGGGACAGGGGGCGGGCAGGTGTGGAGGACTCCCTGGTCCTGAATGGGGTAACTGTGCCCCTGAAGGACCAGGTGCGCAGCCTGGGAGTCATTTTGGACTTGCAACTGTCCATGGAGGCGCAGGTCAATTCTGTGTCCAGGGCAGCTGTCTACCAGCTCCATCTGTTATGCTGGCTGAGACCCTATCTGCCCGTGGACTGTCTTGCCAGAGTGGTGCATACTCTAGTTATCTCCCGCTTGGACTACTGCAGTGCGCTCTGCGTGGGGCTACCTTTGACGGTGACTCGGAAACTACAACTAATCCAGAATGCGGCAGCTAGACTGGTGACTGGTAGCGGCCGCTGAGACCATATAACACCGGTCCTGAAAGACCTACATTGGCTCCCAGTACGTTTCCGAGCACAATTCAAAGTGTTGGTGCTGACCTTTAAAACCCTAAATGACCTCAGCCCAATATACCTGAAGGAGCATCTCCACCCCCATTGTTCAGCCTGGACACTGAGGTACAGCTCTGAGGGCCTTCTGGCAGTTCCCTATGTGAGAAGTGAGGTTGTAGGGAACCAGGCAAAGGGCCTTCTCGCTGGTGACGCCCACCCTGTGGAACGCCCTCCCATCAGATGTTAAGGAAATAAACAACTATCTGACTTTTAGATGACATCTGAAGGTAAGAGATAGGCAGAAAACGTATTTACATGCCTTTATTTCTGTCTTTGCATCGTTACAAAAAACATGACTTCTCTCTTCAAACTCCAGCAGTCGAGTGACAAACTCATGCTGTACTTCCTGTACAGCTCATATTACACTCTGAGCTAATTCCGGTGCTTCGCACTGTGAATTGACTGTCCCTCTGTTTCCCACAGAACAGTCCCAACATTCCATCATGTGATGTTTTCAAGCTACCAGCAGCTCGCAGCTGCATTGCTTCTATATCGTAACACTGTGTTCATGGGGGAGCAAACACCAGCTGCAACATGCCTGTAACTTGAGCCTCAATAGATACCTTTATTTCAAGGGTAAGGATAGGATTTTCCTGGGCTCCTTGTTATAATCCAGAAATATGCTGAGAAAAAGGAAGCAGTGCCCACGCAGTGAGACTGATGGGAGTTTTGCCTAGTGAAGTAGAGAATGCACATAAGAATCTTAACTTGTGGTCTGGTGTGTTTATCCTGTCCAATGCGCCTTTGAAGGCGTAGATCAGTCGGTAGAGCACGAGACTCTTAATCTCAGGGAGGTGGGTTCAAGCCCTACATTGGGCAAAAGATTCGTGCATTGCAGGGGGTTGGACTAGATGACCCCCGTGGTTCCTTCCAACTTTACAGTTCTAAGAAGGAGCTCACTTGTTGCTGGGTGCAACTGGCTGCCTACATTCTGCAACAGTGCCGTCTCAAGGGGACTGAGCCCGGCGGTTCTTCGGAGAAAGTTGATTAGCTCTGTGTTGATCCTGGAATCTGAAAGTGCACTTTCTTTTTCCTGCTTCCAGATCTCTGAGCTTCCCACCATAGTTCGGGACCTTGCAAACGGCAACATAACCTGGGCTGACGTGGAGGCCAAGTATCCACTCTTCGAGGGACAAGAGACTGGCAAAAAGGAGACAATAGAGGAATGAAACAAACTCCCCGGAAACTTAACAAGAAGTCGACTTTTTACTGTTCATGTTAATATGAAATTTATCATGTGTATTATTCAAAACAGGGACTGTCTGGTTATCTCCCCTTCACTTCCAATTGCTGCCTAATTTTAACTCCCAGCTCCAATAAACACAGTTAAAAGACTAAAAATACTGCCGCCATAAGCTTGCTTTCTATCTCCTTTCTCCTTGGTGCTGTCACCATCAGATATTCAGTGGCCTGGTTTGCAGATAATATTAAACCTTGGTTTATATTACTTTATGGTTCATTAAACCGTGGCTTACCATGATGAATGAGCCCTGGTTAGCAGCTCAGCTATGGTTTGTTTACTGCCAACAATCCATGTTCTGAAGCTGTGGTTTGTTACTGGCTCGCAAAACCTTGGTTTGTTGTAACAAAGGCTTGACATGATGTGTGAACCCATAGTTTATTTGGTCACTCCACCCCAGAACCTGACCAAGCTACAAAGGCAGAAGGTAAGAGCAGATGGGGGGGGAAAACCCAAGCTTTGAAGAAGCCATACTTTGTTCATCTATGGGAGAACTCCATGGTTAACTCGTGACTTGTTAAACTAACCATAACCGTGGAAAAAACCCAGTGGCATAGTGCTACGTGTTAACCAGGCCAGTCTGGTTTTGGACTGTTTTCTCTGAACTATAAAGAATTGGGAGCAATAATGTGTGCTCCTTTGCTCAACCATCCCTTTACCCAGTCTTATGGAAACATTGATTTAATTATTTTACAGATAGGACCCCCAAAATAGAGCTCATCTCATTACCTCACAGGGTCACTGGTTGAACTGATGCGTAAATCTAGGGTTTGTTGTGTTTATGCTGTGTACTGGGGTCAGTGCATTTATCATGTAAAGGTGAAGGGACCCCTGACCATTAGGTCCAGTCGTGGCCGACTCTCGGGTTGCGGTGCTCATCTCGCTTTATTGGCTGAGGGACCCAGCGTACAGCTTCCGGGTCATGTGGCCAGCAGGACTAAGCCGCTTCTGGCGAACCAGAGCAGTGCACGGAAACACTGTTTACCTTCCCGCCGGAGTGGTACCTATTTATCTACCTGCACTTTGACGTGCTTTCCAACTGCTAGGTTGGCAGGAGCAGGGACCGAGCAACGGGAGCTCACCCCGACGCGGGGATTTGAACCGCCGACCTTCTGATCGGCAAGTCCTAGGCTCTGGTTTAACCCACAGCGCCACCCACTGTCCCAAACTCTTTAACATCTTTAAGCCGGTACCATGGTTACTGTGTATTTTATTCATAGTTTCTGATTCCTCTGTCTCCTTTCCTTTCTAACTCATCACACCCTCCACACTGATTCTTTCTGCTCAGGAAGCCCAAATGACTGTTTCAGATGTGCAGATGTAGCAGATAATAGAGGGCTATATTCTTCAGTTTCCAGTGGTTCACTGAAACTGGAATGGATCTTAACACATAGGGACTTAAATTGAGTTTTGAGCGTGTCAAACTTTGCAAAAACAGTTTCAGTGCAAATATCCTTCAAATTCAAACTCACACTAGAGCTTTGATAGGTCTTGAGTTTGCACCTCGAGATTTTGAGATGGGTTTCAAGCCGGTAAATGCCATAATTTGGGGGAGATTTTCCTTCCCTCTTGGGAGTGATACCAGCTACAGATTAAAACATGGGTCTCGATCCACCTTGACTACATGGCACAAACCACCTCGAACCTCTCAATAGCTTAGTCCTCATTCTTGGTGATTTCACACTCAGGTTTGTTCTTGTCCTAGTCCAGGGGTCAGCAAACTTTTTCAACCGTGGGCTGGTCCACCATCCCTCAGACCATGTGGTGGGCCAGACAATATTTAGAGAGGGGAAAAAAATGAACGGATTCCTATGCCACAAGTAACCCAGAGATACAATTTAAATAAAAGGACACATTCTGCTCATTTAAAAAGACTGATTCCCAGACTGTCCATGGGCCAGATTGAGAAGGTGATTGGGCTGCATCCGGCCTTAGGTTAAATCCTAGTCCATTAATGGGGCAAAATACTACATTGTGTGCAGTTCTGAGTTGCGATTGGCTAACAAGCGGTTTTTGGGAAATGTAAGTTCTGGATGTAATCATGCAATTTAAGTTGATTACTTACAGTACATTCTTCAGCAACAGTTTCTCATTTATCCCAGCAATCAGCCCAATGGCTATGTTATTTATTATCTATTTTATTCATTTCATAAAATTTATACACTGCTTGAGTGTAAAAACAGGCAAACATTCAAGTGGCTCATAAAAAAACAATAAAATGATCAATAAGAAAAGTATCAATGAGAAAAATAACAATCTAAGACTTTCAGAAAGTTTGAATAACAATGGACTAAAAGCAGACAAAAACTTTCATTGACTTTCTAAATATCTGGGTAGGCTGGTCTAAACAAAAATGTTTTAGGTGCCTGGTAGCAATAGGCAGGGGACGCAGGTGGCGCTGTGGGTAAAAGCCTCAGCGCCTAGGGCTTGCCGATTGAAAGGTCGGCGGTTCGAATCCCTGCGGCGGGGTGTGCTCCCGTTGTTCGGTCCCAGCACCTGCCAACCTAGCAGTATGAAAGCACTCCCGGGTGCAAGTAGATAAATAGGGACCGCTTACTAGCGGGAAGGTAAATGGCGTTTCTGTGTGCGGCTCTGGCTCGCCAGAGCAGCGATGTCACGCTGGCCACGTGACCCGGAAGTGTCTCCGGACAGTGCTGGCCCCCAGCCTATAGAGTGAGATGGGCGCACAACCCTAGAGTCTGTCAAGACTGGCCCGTACGGGCAGGGGTACCTAGCAATAGGCAGGGCGTTCCCAAATGTAAGTGCTGACACAAACTCCAAAACAGGAATTTGCCAGAAACTCAACCTCATCAGCCTCTTATTTCTGCAAAATCGTGAAACTGAGCCTTTCACTTATGTGCCGACATCAATTATATGCCAACTTCCTATTGCCAATTTACTTCTGGGGGAAATTCAATGCTCCTCTGGTTGCAATACAATTTCCACTAATGAACTGTTTTTCTGAGAAGTGAATTTCAAGTATTGGATGATGGACTCAAGGGCATCCTGATCAAATTTGCAGATGACACCAAACTGGGAGGGGTGGCTAACACCCCAGAGGACAGGATCACACTTCAAAACGACCTTGACAGATTAGAGAACTGGGCCAAAACAAACAAGATGAACTTTAACAGGGAGAAATGTAAAGTATTGCACTTGGGCAAAAAAAATGAGAGGCACAAATACAAGATGGGTGACACCTGGCTTGAGAGCAGTACATGTGAAAAGGATCTAGGAGTCTTGGTTGACCACAAACTTGACATGAGCCAACAGTGTGACGCGGCAGCTAAAAAAGCCAATGCAATTCTGGGCTGCATCAATAGGAGTATAGCATCTAGATCAAGGGAAGTAATAGTGCCACTGTATTCTGCTCTGGTCAGACCTCACCTGGAGTACTGTGTCCAGTTCTGGGCACCACAGTTCAAGAAGGACACTGACAAACTGGAACGTGTCCAGAGGAGGGCAACCAAAATGGTCAAAGGCCTGGAAACGATGCCTTATGAGGAACGGCTAAGGGAGCTGGGCATGTTTAGCCTGGAGAAGAGGAGGTTAAGGGGTGATATGATAGCCATGTTCAAATATATAAAAGGATGTCATATAGAGGAGGGAGAAAGCGGACACGGAGCAATGGATCCAAACTACAAGAAAGAAGATTCCACCTAAACATTAGGAAGAACTTCCTGACAGTAAGAGCTGTTTGACAGTGGAATTTGCTGCCAAGGAGTGTGGTGGAGTCTCCTCCTTTGGAGGTCTTTAAGCAGAGGCTTGACAACCATATGTCAGGAGTGCTCTGACGGTGTTTCCTGCTTGGCAGGGGGTTGGACTCGATGGCCCTTGTGGTCCATTCCAACTCTATGATTCTATGATTCTTCTATGATTCAAGTATATGCACAAACACGAAAATTAAAGACAGCCAACCAAACAAACAACAGTTGCACAAAGTGAAGCTGCGCCCAGCATTTATGAAGGGAAATCTCTATTTGTTTAGCATGCATAATTATTTATTTAAGAAGCAGCACACTCTGAAAAAACAAGGCTGAGCTAATAAACACTAGTTATCAGTAATAACTAGTAATATAAACTACTTGATTTTAAAAAGTGCCCTTGGATTTTTTTTTTAAAAAACAAACGACTCAAAATTTTCAATTGACAAAGCAAGAAAATTAATTGTCTTAAAAGTTTCCATCCTATTTGACAAAGGATGCCTGAAGTGGAGAAGTGTATTAAATCTATATTTCCAGCAGAGGGAGCTGCAGACCTAAATGTATAACACTAAGCAATTTAAAAAAAAATTACGGGAGTGCTGAATTTTGAATTTGAGAACATATACCCGAAGGCTGGACTTCCTATGGGGAATAAATCCTTAGGTTTTGGGTCCTTTCCCTGCACAAGCCTGGGCTCAATATTAAACATGAGCCAGTAACAAATATGTAAGTCTCTGAGCAGAGATGGCACATGCTGACAAGGTCTCACTCCTGTCAGGAACCATGCTGTGTCATTTTGCACTAACTGCAGTTTCCAGGAAGCCCCACGTAAAGTGTATATTGCATTAACCCTGTCTTGAAAACACCAATGCCCGAACTACTGTAGTCAAGCTATCTCCGCCAAGCAGTCAAAAGATAGACTGGGAGATGCTCTGGAAAAAAGATCTGAAATTTACAGCATGTTCTTTACTGAAAGAAAACTATATGAAAATGATGTACCCCAGTTAAATGAGCAAAAATGTGTAGAACATGTACAAATATATACTGGAAATGCAAAGAAAAATAAGGTACCTTTTATCATATGTGGTGGACCGGTAAAGTAATTAGAGACTTCTGGGAAATGATATGCAATGCAATGAAAAAAATGTTCAAAATAACTTTTACTAAAAAAAACCCCAGAAGCTTTTTTATTAGGCTTTATAGGTATCAGGATCCCAAAGGATCAGAAAAAAACTGTTTATGTTCACGACAACAGCCACAGAGAAAGAACCCCAACCAGAGAAGAATGACAAACCAGGTTGATGGACTATGTTGAAATTAACTGGGAAGCTTAGAAACCAAGAAGACAAGAACTTTAAAAAAAATGGGAAAAGTTTATAATTTATACACAAGAACATTG